TAAATCAGGTTTTCCGAATCCAGCTATAACCAGGGAAACTCAGTACACACTATTTCAACTGAATGTGCAATTACAATTTCTCAACAGCAGAAGCCAAGATAACTACAGTCACAAAACATTACCTAGCCCTCCCCTATCACACTGTACTAGTAATGTCACTCTATTAGCCTCCTCTGTCAAAAAAACTAGCACCACAATGTCTACTGAGTGTGAGGTAAGGCTATCACAACTTGAGTGTAAACGCGTCTTCAAAGTCTTGATGACTTACACAGTGCAGACTTGGCAGACGGAATCACATACACACCAGGCAACTTCTGCTTCTGAAGCTGATTACTGAAACACAATATACCATGAATATCATTCAACATACAATGACCATCATTCAATATTCAATGAACATTATTATCTGGTGTGGGTTATTTATTATATGAATATACTGCTTCTTTGACTGACTGTTACTGACAAGTGTCATTCTGAGATTCTGACACTGGGGAAGTGTAAGTTTTCGATGATATATTATCCTGTAACAGCATAACTGTCACTGATGATAGCAACACATTTTTATTATGCAAGTGAAAGGAATTGACAAATGAATAAATCAAGAGCATACAGTGTGTGGAAGTCTGTAATGACAGTTGTCGAAGTTCGATAAATTTACCACTTTCTTAACAACCCTTTCAATGAAAAAAATATATTGACTGAGTTTCTCAATAAAGTAACTCACTATTCTGCTAATAAGGAATACTCTAAGAAGAAAGGCCCATAGCTGTGATTCCCTTTGGGCGTGGACGTCTTCTTGTCAATCATTTTGGAAGCTAAATTGAGCTGAGTTTCAGAGTCAGGAACAGGTGGCAGCTGTTTCCGCAGCCCAGATCCAGGCCGTGCATTATGGGAAGGCTGCGGGGAGGGGTCGCCATTTTTACTCATATCCTGCTGGAAGAGATAATAAGATCTTAATATAATGCAATACAATTTGCAAACTAAAATGTATGAAGCAACAGTCTGCTACAAATTTAAAGAGGGCAAAATGTCTACTCTATACAGATCTCCTAACGTCCATTTATAACATAAATGTGCTGAAAACCTATTTGAAACAGTTCATCATACCAGTTATATCAAACTACTTCACTACAAAATTTTTAAGGGGCCATTCAGAATAGGGAACTAACTAGTCTTATGGTCAAATATGGCTGACCCACTTGAATACTTTCCCACGGGATATCTATTCAGTGTCTATAAGAGGATTAGATGGCAAGCTTTGTAGTGGGTCGCCATATTTGACCCTCTGACTAGTTAGTCCCCTATTCTGAATGGGGCCTAAAATTTAGGTAACAGTCAAGTGGACCCTCATAAGGTTCACAGTAGTACTTTTATCTCTTTATAACTCAGGTCTTCATAAGATCATCTGACCTTTTTTAAAATTACTTTTAACAATCTTAATAAAATGAATAAAGATGAAATTGAGTTCAAATCCTCTTCAACTTCACTGCTGTCACAGGGGGATGGTGTCCTTTGTTTCAACAGCTGGGGAAGAAATATCTCCGCATATTACTAAGAAATGACAGCAGAGGTTATCACCAGGAAAGAAAGGTCACCTATTGGTGATATGTCACACCAGATGACAGATAACTTGGGAAAATTAATCACCACAAATCACTCCTTAATCTATATTTGCTGTGATACTTGACCCGTTAATCTTTACTTATCATCATTAAAAGTAATTAATCCCAGTGGCCCTAGTTAACCCTGACACTAGCAAGACAAATGCAGATTTTCCTCATAGGAATTCACCATGTTGACAATGGATTAACATGTAGAGACAACAGCAGGACATAGATTTAGTAAATACTTTCATATTAATAACAACCTTCAGATTTTTTACTTGACAGCGTAACTTAACTACCCCCAAGTTTTAATCATTGACCTAAAAGGGAAGTGGAAATATTTCACTGCTGAAAAAGTCAAAAACTTGTTTGTGGTTGAGTACTAGAAATGAGTGCTGATGGAAAACAAGTACATAACTGTTACACAAGTCAAAGTTGATAGGAACTGAAGCAAGAAATTTTGAGTAAAAACTGCTCCCTCTGTTGTTGTTATTATTATTATTATTATTATTATTATTATTATTATTATTACAACAATTCAAAACTCTTCGTACAACCCTAAAAATGTCCAAAACACTAGACTTCACTTGTACCAGCACATAAAGACCACGACTTACATAAACAGGGCATGCAATATTTGAGTTAGCTTTCCTAACAGTTGATAATGGTGTGATTATTTTCTTTCCACACTGTACAACACTACAGGTGCTTGGCACAGGAGATGGAAGTTCATCAGGAGCAGACTTGACTTGGCACCACTGATATCACGTCTCTGTCGGCTTGATAAAAACTGGTCTGTAGTTCTCACTCAAATAAAAACAGCCTCTTCCATCAATTTCAACTGATATATATATATATATATATATATATATATATATATATATATATATATATATATATATATATATATGTATATATATATATATATATATATATATATATATATATATATATGTGACTACCCTCCCCCCATATATCTTAGTATCCAACTATTTGTAGGAATATGATGGCTTTCAATAAGCTTTGGTTTAAAAATGCACAGAATTAACTGTTTTTCAAGGTGAGTCACATCCATCTTGACTTGTTCAAACTATGTAAACTTTGTGCTTGGGACACAACCAAGCACAAAGGGTGGGGTGGGGGGGTGGGGGGGTGGGGGCAGACCTGATAATATCAGAGATGCATGATGTGGTGCACCCACTCCCCACCACCACCCAATCCCAATTCTGTCCGCAAAGTCCCTTCAATAACACCTCCTCCCAATGTTTCCTGGCAGACAACTGAATGGTCAGTCCTCCTTAATATGAAAGCTGTCAACATTAGCAGTACCATGTTCTATGGAAATATGTCACAATGAAGACGAGGAACAGAACAATTATCACCCGCACAAAAGTCAAACACTGAATGCCTAAACACAAAGACCTAATTGAAGTGCCTCATAAAATACCATTTACAAACAACTGATAATATAAGATACGAAGAACCAGTGCACCTGCAGATAGCTACAGTATACACCTTACCTGTGTGGCTGTTTACTATCACCTGTCAACAATTCTACAACAATTCTTCTAGACCTGCCTACATATCAACTATCCTCAAATGCCATCAATTATTCAGAACCATCATGTACAACGCTAAATGTTTCTCCAAAGGCGCAAAAGGACCTAATCAATCTACTAAGCAAACAACGAGCAGTGGAGTGAGGTTTAAAATGCAGGACTTTAACATCTTCACAAACACTTGGGCTGAATGTAAAGAGGAATACTTGAATAGGCAAAGCTAACAATGACTTTATGTGCACAGCTTGTTAGTAAAACAACTTTTTGAAAAAATACAAAGTTGTCATAATTCGTTTCAACACATCAATTTGAATGCTTATTTGTTGTACTTTACTTAGGTCTGTTTACTCCCAAGTCAAAAAGCTATTTAATCAGTTCAGATTGGGAAGCCAAGGTCTCACCTTGTGTTATCATACAATTAGTCCAGGTGTAATTTACAACTACATCAAACTTCAACATGTGTTGCCTGTAGCAGTTCAGTCAGTCATGTCAGGTCAGTTTTATATCCACACCTCTACATGTGGTCTAAGACATTTTGAACTCTGTGAAGTACATTGCTAACTGTGGAGCTGTCAAATGACTTGGCTTGCCATCCTATGAGCCTTCCCTGAACTGAGATGTTTAGTAACAGTTGTATAGGAGAGGTATTACTGAACAAATCTGACCAGTTCTACCTCATGATTGAAATGATTTCATATAGCCATCAATATACATACATCTAAATATGTGGCCAAAGTCTTAAAGCTGAACCGTATCTCACAAGTTCCCTACCAGTCCCCCTCCTCCCCAGGTACACCCCCCTCAGGTACACCCCCCCTCAGGTACACCCCCCTCAGGTACACCCCAGTTAACACTGACCCACCCACTGCTTTAACACTGCCCCTAGCTTACTGTACAGTGACAGGTGACCATACAACAGGTGACAATACACTATGTACTACCATTAAGTGACACACCCCCTTCCTGCAAGCCTAGCATTAAGAAGATGGCCTAAAGAAAGTGGCAACAGCATAAGAAAATGATCTTTTTGGACATGTGTCAAAAGTTATATACATATATGTACATCTTTGGTTATTTGTGGAAGCCTGAATTTCACACTTTGGAACCTAAATTTCTAAACATGTCTGCTTCAGTGCACATCATGTTCATATATTCACTTCAGTGACTGATTTGAGATCCATCACCTAAATTAAGGGTTTATTTTACCAAGTACAGTAATGTTCATCTACGGAGAACTGTGGATTCCAGAATACCAAATGTGTGTTTGCGATTGATGCAGCAGGTTTTACCTAAAACACCGCAGAGGTTTGGTAATTACTTCTTGCAATCAGACTTAATTCAAGGACTACATTAATTTATTTGTCAGTTTTGGCAACACATGAAAATGAAATTTTTTGAAAGATACGGAAAGTGAGTTTGGCACATGTCAGCAAAAAGTACATCCTAGACAGAGATTCAGAATGGTCTATCTTGGAAATAGAACTGGAATAAATGAGGTGTGTGAAATTTGAGGATAAACACCGTAGACATAACTGATAGCTTAAAGACCTCTGGGGACACAATCCCCTTTTTAAAAGGTAGGTAAAAGGGTCACAGGTGAATACCCTTAGGAATAGTAATGATAAAGATATGTATAGAAATATAATTGCAAGACTTAATGACATTAACCAGTCCCAGACATTTCTTGGACACATTTCAATTTCTGTTTAATAACAGGTGACCCTGCCAAAATTCTCTCTCTGAATGACGTCTAACACCACACGCACGTGTGTTGACATGTGCACACATACATACTCATGTACGAACACACGTATGCAGAAGTGCCCTTAATACAATTGTTAGCATGTTTGGGGGGGGGGGGGGGAGGTACAGAAACCTGTTGTATTCTTCTCCTTGCCATAACTATTTAGCTACGTACCTTCTCGTCTGTGGCTACAGATGTCATGGCTGCTTCCGTCTTGGGGTCCTTGTCATTACTGTTCAGCTTCATCAAGATGTACTCGATCTCAAGCAAAACTGAAAATAAAACAACAAATTTACATCATGCATCTTGAATAAGGGCTTTTATAGATCAGATAATGGTCCTTCTTGGAATATAACAGATATGCTGAAAACATTTTAGTAAATTTGGACATTTGGACAGGCAGTAAAAAAAAATTCCAGATTTTTGCTGGACTGCCATTTTACTAACATGTAAAATAGAATCTATGCGTCACATTTACTGCTTTTTAAAACTAAGAATTGGATAACATAGATTCCTAATCCAGTATCTTAACTAATGACTGATTCTATAACAATTCTGTATTTGTTCTTCTCTCAGTCCAAAGGACTCTACCAAGAATGTTCCACAAGCACTGTAATGTGTACACTAAAGTGGGACATTCTGTGACACCTGCTCATATCAAGCCACCCCTAGCATGGCATGCTGCATTATAATAAGTTATAACCAGTTCTAGATGTCTAGGTAGATGTAACCAGCAATAATGGTAAAATGAGAGAGAGAGAGAGAGAGATACTTAAATTCTATCCTAACACCCCTCAGGTCATCTCCCAATTTCACCAATACACCCCAGAACCACAGTGCCATAATTACTCTTAAATTTCAAATTAAATGAATTAAATAATTCAATATTTTACCATATGTCAATACTTCAATACTTTCAACTGTCTTGCATTTTAGCATTATGATCAGGTTATGGTAAAAAAAGGCCATTTAAAACATTTTGCCTGAATTTGACAGTACCCCCCCCCCCCCCCCACACACACACACCCACACAGTACTTCCACCTGTCCTTGTGTCATAACACACCTGTGGATTAAGTGGAGTGAAGCATGTCATACCTGGTTACTATGGGACATAAGTCAGTACTTGTCACCAAATGGACATTAGTGACACATTAAATGAGGCGAGAATGTCACATCCAATGTGACACAGGTATAGCAGTATATAACTTGTTGGTATTAATATAACTGGGCTGATTATCTACATCTTCTGACATGCAAGACTCACTCCAGCATATTGATTATTTCAGCTAGACAGCTAAATTATCTCTGATGAAACAGTATTTAAAACTTGGCAAAATAGCAATTTATTTCAGTTATTTATTTGTCAAATTCAAGTTTTTTTTTTATTCAAATCATGGCTAAAATTCACTATGCTTTTGTAAGCCCCGTCATGGTATTATAATACTGGGATTATATCTCCCTTTTTTAATCCTATATATATATCTCCCTAATCCTGTAGTACCTCTTCCAGGATCAAAGTAACTCATTTTTAAACCAAAAACCAACACCAATAAACAAATTTAAAAACACACTTTGCATAAAACCATCTGAAAACATTTTACGAGACATTAGGATTCCAGAAATTGTTATTCAAGAGCTAAATTGTCCACCACTATCAACTTACAAGGAAATAAGCATGTTACCCTTCTAGCTAGATGGCAAGAAAGTTGTCAACAAGACCTTGCAGACTGTAAATTGCTTTTAAGGTTCATTTGTCATTTCAAGCTGACAAGTTAATTTCAGCCACCATGCTAAAGAAGACGTCAAATATGACCCTGAGCAGTATCTTGTCAGCAGACTGGTGTACTTTAATACAGATAACAACATCTGGCAGGAGAAATAGACTTAAAACACCAGTTAATTTCAGAACTTAATTTTACAGAGAAAAAACGTAAATGTATAGCAAATATCACAATATAAAAAAATCTTCCCATGATAGTTTTGTTTTGAAGTCATTAACATGATAATCTTCTCTTGTTTATTTTTTTAATGTGAATTTAGTGTTTTATTTATGATGATTGGTGTCTTATCTAAACCAATACATGTCTTCACTAAATTTTAGCTCATCTTAATTCTATATAAATAGACACACACACACACACACACCACACACACGCATATACACACATTTTCTTTCCCTCTTTCCCTCTCTATCTCCTTACAAAGATCCAGGATTATTTAAAGGGGGGTCCAAAGATGCGAAGCCGACACCACCACCCACTCCCTTGGTGTGTGGTCTGGGGTCCACTGAAGGGCCCTGAAAAATATGGTATTTAAGAGGCCAAACGGTGCCATTTGGTATGGTTTAGAACTTTGATTCAGCTAGTGAAAATTCTAATTCAAAGAGGGGGCAATTTGTTTTTTTTTCAGAAATTGAAGGAAGGGTCACAAGCATTCTCTCTCTCTCTCTCTCTCTCTCTCTCTCTGCGTGTCAGCCACCTGAAGTCACTGAGATATTAACTGGCAAATGCTGGACAATAAAACTGAGATGACCATTTAATGACCAGTAGACAGAATGCAGGTAAAATAGCCACTGGCCACTCCACACCACCAAGTACTGGTCACCTCAGCCAGGTCACAGCTGGACAGAATGCTGAGGTTAAAGCAATAATAACTCTTCCTTTGAGATTCAAAATTCCGCATGAAATACATTTTAAACAACGCATGGAAATATATTCTATCGTATTTTACCACTAAAACGGCCGTTATTGGAGTAAAACTAAAATCTGTGCTTGTCAATGGGGCTTTCGATGCCATTTTTCCCAGTCATCAAGGCATTCGTTGCTAATGACGTAA